CAGGTGGAAAACACCCTACGCAGGCAAGTGTAGTGGAGCACAGAGCAGTCCATCGTGCAGAGCCCATGAAGGTAGGAAACGCCCAGTAGTGGTCAGCAAGGCGAGTCAAGGGGCCATCCTGAATGGACTGTGCGTATTTGCTCCAGTGAGCTGTGATAGGACCTGTGCCCCGTTGTTTAATGTATTGTAACCACCTGACGGACCACATGAAGGCCAGTTGGTCAAACGAGACAAACTAGACTTCACCAGTCTATGAAGGTTTATGACCACTTTATGAATGTGTGTTACAGTGGTGCTGATCACTCTTAAGACACCATTAGTACATTTGACTGGTCTAGCTGACCACTGTACAGTATGTATGACTGGCCACAGTTAGATGGTTTTAACGAGTTGTCCTTCATCTTGTGTCACTGACCACAATCTTATTAACAGGACCCTTCTCTGTGTGACTGGACGCTCAAGGAGAGAAATGGGGACACAGCACAAGGCTTTCCAGTAAATTTTTTATTAAGTTTTTATGTTAGTGATTTATTCCAAGAAAGTGTTTCCGTCTCTCCCTGTGCGATTCCGTTAAGGCTCCCCTGTGCTCACAGCGGGAGCGAGGCGAGGAGGAGGAGGAGGAGGAGGAGGAGGAGAGGGAGGGGGAGGAGGGTGGGGGGGGCACAGAGACAGCAGGTGAAAGGGGGTCTGGCCGAGCCTGGGGGGGTGGGGGAGCCCCGTCTCCAGGTCCCAGACGGCCGTCCTTTCCTGGAGCAGGGAGTGGCAGCAGCTGGACACAGGACCCACAAGGTCCAGTCCTTTAGAACAGGAGTGCACTGAAGACGGGCCTTTCCGGATCAGAACAGGGGGCAGTCTAATAGGGCACCCTGAATCTCCACCTGCCCCCAGACGTGAACCCCTGTGATCACAGAAGCAGGTGCTTGGTGCAGTAAAGGTAGCTCTTGACATTTTATTCTGAATGGTCCTCCTGTCCCTGAAGTTCAGAAAACTCACTTCTGACTTCCTGACCGTTCGTGACATACGAAATGGAGGATTGATTGCTGCCCTACGACACCTACTGGACTGGGGCTCGGCTGGACAGTGTCTGAGCTAGGAGACTGAAAGATAAGTAACACAGTGGCTTGAACGAGGCTGGTGGTGTCTGGGAGGGGTTGGAGGTGCTGGTTCAGTGGTCACCTTGTCCTGCAGTCCCCTGCCCCTGGCCTGCTCTCAGCCTGTACCCTGGGGGGTGCCAGTGGGTGACAGGTGGACTCAAGGTGTGGGCCTGGGGCCAAGCACTCCTGTTCGCACACAGTAGGCTGTAAACTTTCACGTGTCCCTTTGCAAAGGGATTTCTGTCGTTTTCTGATCCTGAAGAACAACTTCCTCTTCTGGCCTACTTTCACTTCCTGGTGCCTTCAAGCCCCTCCCCCCCATAAGCCCCTCCCCACCCTGCTCTCTCTGTGATTGGGTACAGCTCGGGTCAGCCTCCTGGTCACCGTGGCGACCACGCACGACCTCATCTTGGCGCCTCCCCTCCTTCAGCTCCTCCTACCCGCTCTCTCTCACTTTT